GGTAATGAAGAAAAACTCTAATATAAGTTTAACATAACAGCAAATGTACAACATTTCGACAAGGTTTTGTCGATGATGACAAAACCTTGTCAAAACATTGTACATTTGCTGTTATGTTAAACTTATATTAGAGTTTTTCTTCGTTACCCATTCAAGCCGTCTCCAGCCATTATAATTAGAAACAGTTTCTTGTAATTAACAGAAAGATATAATAAAACCATTTTAAAATCCCCTTTTTCCTTGTTCACACCGTAACAAAAAATAAAAGCATTTTGGTGTCTTTCACTGTGATTTCAATAAGTTAGATATTTTTAAAGCCTCAACTAGAAAACGTTTTTCAATAACTAACGAATACGTATGAAGTTTCAGTTAATTTAGTGCAAAAAAAAGTGTGTGAAAATCATTGTATTAACTAATTTTATCCTAAAAAACTACTCATGCTACATATAATAACATCAAAATGCCTTGACAAGTAAAGTTTTTATGTGTGTGTTCCAGTATACTCGATTTTCTTATTAATAACATCATCATTAAAGTACTTGGTAGTTTCTAGTTTTTGTATTATGTAGATACTATGAAGCATGAATTGGTTTTAGAAATCAACATTAAGTGGTCCTATTGACTAAAACTGAAATATTACTGTTGGCAACACTAACAGAAATCCATTAGTAATACATGCAACCAGTCATTAGCTCACAGTCAGAAATCCATTAGTAATACATGCAACCAGTCATTAGCTCACAGTCAGAAATCCATTAGTAATACATGCAACCAGTCATTAGTGCACAGTCAGAAATCCATTAGTAATACATGCAACCAGTCATTAGCTCACAGTCAGAAATCCATTACTAATACTTGCAACCAGTCATTAGCTCACAGTCAGAAATCCATTACTAATACTTGCAACCAGTCATTAGCTCACAGTAAGAAATCCCTTAGTAATACATGCAACCAGTCATTAGCTCACAGTAAGAAATCCATTAGTAATACATGCAACCAGTCATTAGCTCACAGTAAGAAATCCGTTAGTAATACATGCAACCAGTCATTAGCTCACAGTAAGAAATCCATTAGTAATACATGCAACCAGTCATTAGCTCACAGTCAGAAATCCATTAGTAATACATGCAACCAGTCATTAGCTCAGTCAGAAATC